GTGTGTGACACATCTGGGCTGTGTTCCCAGTCCTTGAGACTAATGATCTAGGTTCTGCTTGGAGGGTGGAGATGGACATGGCTCCACATGAAAGGTACTTACTTGGTGGAGATACCTGGGTGGAACACTCGTTGCTGGCAAGAGGGTGAGACTCGATATTTTATGATGGGCCCAGACAGAGGGACTTTCTGAGGAAGCTGGAGAGGTGCCTGATTTCTCTGATTGTAGCGTATGAATGGGTAGAAATCTTAGGACTTCCCTCTATCTTAATTTTTCTGGCTGTCACATCCTGAGGCAGCTGTATCACTTGAGGGTAGAAAAAGCACCCTGGATTTCCTAATGGCACTTGACCCTACATGCTAGCTGTATGCTACTGGTGTCACTGAATGTGAGCTGTCTGAGACCCTTCAGTTAGGGAAGACATAATTTACTGTATGTGCCTCTGTTTTGTCAGACTTGGAAGCCCTTGACTGGTTTTCCCACTGTTTAGCAATGTCTGTGTTTGCCTGAGAGCTGGCTGGCTACAGGCCAGGCTAGGCAAGACACAGGTGACATTGTTTGTCTAGGAGAGACAGCGGGAGGAAACGCCAGAGGTAATGGCTGCTTCCTGGACTGAACTGGTTCTACCATTTTTGTTAGTTGCGAAGGCAGGCTGAAGGTCTCGCTCTGTCCTCTCTGGCTGCTGTATAGCAGCAGGGAGGAGTGGGCTGACCCCCTTCCTCCCCAGTTTAGATCTTTGTGGTCTGGAATACAACTGTGAAGGTGCTTTGACTCATTTATGCAGCACTCATATTAGTACCCTGGTGAGTGAACTGTGAGGTATATTTATAGATCCTGGAGCCTGGGCGCCGTGAGAGGTTAGGACTCAAGATGGCCAACGAAGTAGCAGCTAAAAACCGAGCAAAAAAGCAGGAGGCACTTCGAAAAGTCACAGAAAACTTGGCCAGGTAAGACTTCTGTTTTGCCTATACAGAGTCTGCCAGCAGAATTGGGGATGGGTGTTTCTTGACGAGATTTTAATCAATGTGTGCAGAAAGGGAGGAATTACAGTGCTGGAAGCAGGAAGAGGTATAGTCAAGCTAAAAGTTTTTAGAAGTAAAAAGACTTAATTCCTAAGGGGAGGTGGTTGGTAGTTGTCCTTGATCCTTCCTCCTGTGACCCTTCCTGTTTTGTCCTACAGCCACCCAGGCAGTGCCCCTGCACAGGTGTCCTGCCTCGCTGCAGTAAGAGGAGACATGTTAAGGCTTGCTTGACTGGATCACAGGAAGGACAGAGCAGGCTCAAAGGAAAAGAGACAGGCATTGCTGTTCATGTTTGAGAGGGATGTTAGATGTATCTGTGATACTGTAGCTCTCTAGAGAGACAGGCTGCACCTACTGGCAGGCAGAATGACTTCTACAGCCAGTGGCTCTGGATTGTGGAGGGGTGGACACCAAGCTCTCCTGTGGAAGCATTGATACTTTTCTTGATAAATGGCAAGTTTTTACTGTAAAATCTTTTAAAATGTTTTTTTCTATTCCAGCCTCACTCCAAAAGGACTAAGCCCGGTTATGTCACCAGCTTTGCAACGGCTAGTAAACAGGACTGCAAGTAAATATACTGACAAAGCCCTGCGAGCCAGCTATACTCCTTCCCCAGCCCATACTGGAACTCCTGGTTACAAGACCCCAGCAGGTGGGCCTAATACACCCACAAGCACCCCGCTCTCAAGGACAGTGTCTCAGACACCAGTGTCTCAGGATACTACATCAATCACAGACAACTTACTGCAGCTTCCTAAAAGAAGGAAGGCATCTGATTTTTTCTAAGTAGTCCTTTCATCATCAAGGCAATAGTGAATTGGCTGTACCCAGCTGTGTGCCAACTGGATTTTGTGATCCATCAGTAGTAAGGGGTATGTAAATGCAGCTGCCAGAACAGGACCCAGCAGCTGCTAGATCTGGGACCAGCTCTACTCTAGACCATATATCTGAAGTAGCCTATGATGTGCTTTTTGGAAGCAAAATATTTCCTACTGTGGTATAACTTCCCTTTGAACTGCATGGATGTGTTACACAGGGCTGCAGCAGCAGAAGGAGGCTTTCTGCAATGGCAGAGAAGAGTTTGGACTCTTGGAAAACAGCAAGGATTTTGTGAAGATATTTTTCTCGTTTTGACATGACCCTGTGGACTGCATTTAAATACTTCTGTGTACAGATCTCTCTATTTATAAAATGTGGTAAGCCTTCCTCAAAGGCTGACTAAACCTTCCTCTAGCGTGTTTGTTTTTGTGTTTTGCAGAAAAGGGGGGTAGATCTTGTGACTTAGAAACAAAGATGCAGTCAAGTCTGTAAGCTCCTCACTTCCTTCTTCCAACTGTGTATATACTGAGACAGGACCCAGAATTTTAGAGGGCTTCTCTTTAATTTCACCAGAGTTTAAACTGATGATCTTGAGTGTACAAGGGGCCTGTCAAGAGAATTAGTACCTCATGAGAACAGTATACACATACAGTTTTAGAGATCAGCTCACACTTTCTAATAACCTGCCCTGGTGGCACTGAATCCATAATGTGGTTAATGCATGTGTGAATTCTTCAGCCAGTGCAATCAGGAACTTGAGAGATGTGAGCATATGATCTGTGAATGCCAGTCAGCAGCACTGTGACCTGAGAGAAAGCTTTCCAACGTGCATTTGGTAGTAACTTCTGGTCCCTGCAAACCATATCAGAGACAGGCCTTTTGGGAACAGTGGTGTTAAGCTGTTCATTCAGCTCAACAGATGCACTGTATTTTCTATGCTTTGATTGTAAAGCAAAAGACAAGGACTATTTCTGAATGGGTTCAGAGAATCAGAAGTTGAAAGCTAGCAGTTCACAAGTTAAATCAATTGTCGTGATACTGTTAAAACCAGCCATATTTAAGAGGCTCCCTTTTCCCTCTCCTTTCCTTCCCTTTCTGCAGGCTGGGGTTCTGTTTGCTCTTTGTGCTCAGGCTTTTCCTCGTGCAGGTTCTGGGAACACTCGCCCACTTCTGCAACTGGTGCTGTTGAAGGGAGCATGGGTTCTAGGCCCTGCAACCATGGGTGGCTTAAAACTTCATCTATGCACAACCTCCGAGACACATCTGGGTGGAGCATGCGGTAAATGAGATCCTTGCATTTTAGAGACAGGTGTCTGGACTTGGGAAAGTGAATCCTGTGCTGTTTCTGAATCCAGACCATTTTTCTGATGTTAGAATCATCAAATGGCATTAATGCACAGACCATTATATATAGGATGACCCCCAAGCTCCATATGTCGCAAATCTTGGGGTTACAAGGAATGCCCTGTAGCACTTCGGGGGCTGCATATGCAGCAGACCCACAGAAGGTTTTACTGAGAATAATTTTCCCGTTTTCATCCCGAGTTAAGGGTTTGGAAAAGCCAAAGTCCGACAGCTTGATGTTGAGGTCTTTATCGAGAAGGATGTTTTCACATTTCAGGTCCCTGTGAGCAAGATCCATGTCATGGCAATACCTGATAGCAGAAGCCAACTGCTGAAACTTTCTCTGAGCGACGTCCTCTTTCATTGCTCCAGTAATCTTGATGTAGTCCAGAAGGTCTCCCTTTTCCCCCAGCTCCATTATGATGTACACTTTGCCTGCGAATGTTTCAAATATCTCGTAGGTTTTGACAATTGAGGGGTGGTTCATACGTTTCAAAGCAGCTATTTCCCTTGGGAGAAATTTTTCCAGGAAGTCCTGAGGAGTTTTCGTCTTGTCGATAATCTTTATTGCCACGTTGCTTTCCAGCCTGTCAGAGTAGGCTGCTTTCACTTTGCCATAGGAGCCTTCCCCCAGAGTGACGCCCACAATATAGCCTCTTTTTCCAAGCACTATGACATCTTCCATCGTGCTAGAGGTGGGGTGAGCCAGGGGGGCCGGGTGTGTGTCATCCACGCTGGCAGGCTGCATGTTGCCATTCCATGGTGGCTGCCTGGTACGTTTCGCTCCTGCGCTGGGCCGGTGGGCACCCAGCGCTGGCGGCTGTGTGATGTCACAAGCCGGGCGCTTAGTCGTCCCGGGGAATCGAAGGGACGTTTCCAGCCCCAGGAAGCTACTGGATGCCATGATGCAGGGCAAAACTTAGCATCGAGCCTCCAAGAGGCATTGGCTTGTGCTCTATTTCCTTCATAAGTGATCTTTATGTGTAGTTTTGCTGAGATGGAAGTAGCTTAAATGTTTTTCCTTTATAAATGTCTCTAATACTTTTTATATTTATTCATATGTTAGTCAGGTACTCGGTTGCATGTTAAAATAATTTGGTAGGGAATGATTAAGCTTGCTTTATTTATTTTGATATTTTCTATGGCTTATGAAAGGAAAAATTAACATGAGCACACAGGTCATTTCTGAGGGCGAGGGGTAGCTGCTTCTGACTTTGCTTGGTCATTTTTAGAAGTGTTTTCCATGAGATAAAATGGAGAAGGAATTGCTCATAATGTTACTTACAAAATAAGTTCTTTCCTGAAGCATAAAAGCATGGAAAAAATTTCTGAAATAACTTAATTTACTGAAGTAGAGCTTTTAAAGTATTTATACTATTGGAGGTTCTCTCTCTCTCTCTCTCTCGTTCTCTCTCTCTCTCTCTCTCTCTCTCTTTCTTTTTTTTTTTTTCCCCTAATACATTGAAACCTAGTATGAGCACTTTACGCAGGGTATCTTAAGTTTTCAAAATAAGCATTGGTAAACTAGTTGACTTAAGTGTTTTCATTCTGCACTGGACCAATGCTTCAGTTATGCTGTTTGGCTTGGCAGTCTGAGCACAACAACATATCTGAGTTTTCATCCTTGCAGTGGGGTGTTTAAAACCTTTCTAAAGAAGTTATTTGTTCATGTATGCATCTCTTGTGTGAGGCACACAATGTAAGTACTAAATGAAGGTACTGTGGCTCTATTCTTAAATTTTTTTTTTCATGAAGACAATTTTTTTTTTGTATGTCTCAGCTGACTTTTTTAATGGGCTTTTTTTCTGTAGCATTTTTATTCAGGTTTTTTTTAAATGCTCTGTCTTCTAAATTTGTCTCACATAACTCCCTTGGTTCTTACAGCTGCCTTCCTCAGAGATCTCAGGGAGCTGTAGATGATTAACTGACACTTGTGCTAAATGGCACATCTGATTAGTCCCTAAACTTGCCCTTCAGTTTTGGGAATATTTCCCCCTGACTCTGCTTCCCCCTGCTGTGCTGCTGTTTTGGGGGTGTTGCAGCAACCAGAAGCAAGAATGGGAGGTCTCTGGCTCCTGTTTCCTCGCTCGATTGCGTCGCAGCGATAGCTGAGAAACCTGCAGGTTCTCAATACAGTGCTGATTGGGAGAGAAATATATATGAAGTCCTTTGTGGTCAAAAAATGAATCAAAATACGCTTTTTCCAAGTTTGAGTTATACATTACAGCAGCACACCTGGCAGTGTGAAATCCTTTCCTAGACTGGCAGGCATTAAAGCTGTGAATAGCACCTGAGGTCTCCGAAGGAATGGCATGTTTTGGTACTCCTTGGAGATAAACCACTCAGACTTGTTTTTAGGATATATCGGCCTCGCTCCCCTTCAGTCAGCTTTCTTCAAAAGAGATAGTTTGCCACCACAGAGGCAAGAACATCTATGAAGAACTTCTGATGTTGAGGAATGTGGGATGCTGCTTTTCTGTCTTTAAAATGGTTATGTTCAATAACTGTTTTTTCCATGCCCTTGTTATGAGAAGGGGTGGGCTTTCTCTGGTGTTCGTTCAGCTCCTGTATTTTGTAAATCTGATGATTGGCTGCTCTTGTGGGCTTTGCAGCTGCCGCCTTCTTAAACCCTTACGCAGTGGATGAGCTCTTTTGACTTCCAGGTTCTGGTATTCTTGAGGAAGCCTTGTGCTAACAGCTTCTTCAGAACTGTTCAGAGGATTACTGTTGTTTTGCATGTTGATTGCTTCACCATAATCAGCCTCTGGGGCTTTTTGCTATCTTGATTTCAGCTTTTTCAAATTGGTCTTTCAGCTCCCATGTGTGTGAGTTCAAAGACTTGATGATGATGACAACGCTGGGGCCAGGAACAGTCTTGCTTAGTTCACTGGAATGGATAACAATATCATTCCAAAGAACAGAAATGGTACCTCTGACAGCCAAACTGGGGCTTTTTTTTCTCCCTCCCCTTTCTTTGATGCTTTTGGCTAATTTTCATAATATCCAAAAAACCAGGAGTTGCTTTATGCATGCCTCATATGCACCCAGAGCTGTGCTTGTCCCTGTGTGAGCTGACCTTTGAATGTGAGATGAATACTTGCGGTGTGTGCTCGAGCCCAGAGAAGCAGTGAACACCTTGCAGCAGGAAGTAGGCATAGCCAAATGTTTACACTTGTACCACACCAAAATACAAGACCGTCTATGTAATGTTTGGCAGTCTTGATATTTGCTACAATCAGGTGATGTCTTACCTAGGGAAAATTTTGTACAGCTCTTTGAGCAGTGCCTACAAACTTCTGTAAGGTTTTGGATGTTTGATGCATTGTTTGTCTTGGAGGGGAGCTTTCTCTTGCCACATCCAAAACTCATGTCCCTTGGCTGCAAATATGCTACGAAAGCTCTTCCAAAGTACTTGATTTTTGTAGTGTTCCTTTTAAAAATCTGCCAATCAACGTGGCATTGATAGGAGTAGCTACTGTGTGAAAAGAATAATTTTGCTTTTTTTAGTTTAGAAATAAATGAAGGCTAAACTTTTTCTTGAAGCTAGGCAATAAAGTTATTCAGATATTCATACATGAATGTAAAGAGAATCAATTTACTAACGTTTCCATGTTTTCAGAGATGCTCTTTAAGGACTGGACGGGCTAAATAGCCACAAACTTCTTAGATAATTTTTTCTAATGATCTCACGATCTGCTTACCTCCATGAAATGCAGGATCTCTCTGTTAGGATAGGCAGGCAGGTGACCAGGCCCTGGGCTGAGGTTTAGCTCACTGAACCGACCATGAGAAAGAACTAGACTTGGCACGATAAATGGCTGGATGCTGCAGATAGTGGTGTGAGCAGCTAACAAAGGTTTCAGATAGCACCCTGAGAAAAGGCTGGACTTCACAGATAATGGCAGAGGAGCACTAGGGGCCTTTTGGAGAGCAGAATCTGGCAAGGTGGAGGTTACCTAGGAAAAGGTATCAGAAATACTAAATTTGCCTATGGATGTAGAAAGACTGGGACCAATGGGGAAAAATAATTACAGGAGTAATTATTTTGGGGAGGAGATGAGTGGGGAAAGGGAGGTATAAAGGTGGATCAGGGAAGAAGAATGAGGAAAACAGAGAGGAAGGGGGGATGAAGGGCTGGGTGTGTGGAAGCAGGCTCTGGTCCCATGTGCCTGACCACAACAGTCTCCTCCATCTTCTTGTTAAACTATCCCTATTTCCTGGGTGCCAGTGCTCTCTGTTCTGGACTGTGGAGGGATGCAAAGGCTGGGCAGTGTCTGAGGGACTCGTGAATGGGGGGTTTAGGTGCAAGGCAGGAGTGTGATGGGGACACCTGGTCTGCTGGCCACTTCAAAGCCTGGTCAGCTGGAGAGGAGGAACAGGATCAGGCTGTTGGTGGTGCTTATATCTATGTGAGTGATCGTGGTGTTCATACGGTGGTGGTAAAGGCACTGCTCTCTGCCTGTGTCCATCTGTGTGTGGCTGGTCCTGCCTGTATTTTCCTGTGAGTGTGTGCCAGTTGGGAGTATACACTACTGCCTGGACCTGGGAATGGGAAAAGCAGCTGCCTGGTATCTAGCAGGTTGGAGAGGAGAAATCACTTGGGTCTTAAAATTCATTGGATTTGGCTACTCCTTTAACACTCAATGTGCACGCGCGTGCACGCACATGCACACACGCACACACGCACGCACACACACACACAACTGCATAGCCACAAATTCTTGTTAATGCTGCCTCTCACTGTTACTGTGTCATTATATCCAAGACAACGTGACCATCAGTTTCCTTTAGTCAACGACTGTAGTTAATAGATGATACTCACATACAGGACCATTTCTATGCTCAGAAATGCCTTGGCTGAAAGCATCTAGGCGTTTCAAACCAGCTATACTCATACCAAGAAGTAGCCACCTCACAGAATAATAGGTAGGTGAATACGATATCCGAGACTTACTAGATCTGTATTGTGCAATTCATACTTAAAAGCAGATTGCATTAAATATCTTGTGGGAGGGTGCTGGCTTTGTGTTTTCCCTCAAGTGAATTAACCTAGATAGCCTTACTAAAATCATAGTCTTGATTATGCCAGATTGAAGGGCCTTTACATATTTGCTAGGAAAGTAATTTATTTTCAGTGAATTGCTATAAAACTGGATCTTTTGAAGGGCATATAGTGCTTTTCAGATGGGCTATTCCTGTAACGCTTGCTTTAATGTCTAGTCTCTGCTTCCTGCAACAATTGCAAGAAGCCTGTTATCTGTAATTAATGAATCAGTAGACTCTTCATTGCCAGAATTTTTTTTTGCTAGCGTAGCACTAACAGATAATGTGCCTTACAAGGCTAAATCAAATGTCAAAAACCCAACTCTGCTATGGATGACTTGTGGCTTTTCCCTGCCTGCTCTGCCCCCTTTTTCGATGCCTTATTTTCCTTTTGTTGTTCTTGTATATCTGCGTTTTCTTATATGCAAGGCCCAAGCACACTTCCTCCCTTCCGCAAAATAGCATCCAGAGCACTTCTAAAGATCTCCAGCCTACTGGCACTGAGCAGTGCCAGCAGCCTGGCTCTCCTGAGGCACCAGTTGGTGGGGCTGGCTGTGGTGGGTGACCGCCTGCTTGCACGAACCCTCCTGGCCATGGCCTGCACGCGTGCGCAGGATGTTCAGTGCTGTGTGTCGCTTCAGTTCCAGCCTGCTGCTGTGCTTCCCACTCTGGGGGTCTCTCTTCAGCCTTCCTCCCTGTGCTTTGTTTCTCCTGGCTATAACCTGCCTCTCTGTCCAAATTGGAGGCCGAGTTAGCTTGCTGGTGCAGTACCTCAAGGTGGTTCTGTGCTGCGGTGATGCTTGGGCAGCCTGTGGATAAGGACCATTTCTTTCTGAGCTCTGCTGGAAAAATGCTGGGAACAGAGGAGCTCTGAAAGCAGCTTTGAAGAGGCAATCTCGTGTTCCCCCTCTTCTGTGAGGATGAAGAAACCAGCAGGACAGCAGGCCACAGGGGCGAACATCCCTGTGTCCTCTGACTGTGTCACTGCCATGACCTTCCCTGAAGCTCAGGGGTGGCCCTGGTGGGTTTTGGACACGTGCTGAAGAGGGGGCTTCTGGCCAGGAGCCTTCCCCTGGCTGTTTTGATGGTTCCCTCTTGCTCCCCTGACTGAGACCTCAAGGGGCAATCCAGAGACATCTGGGCAGGTAAGACATGGAGATACCTTGCAGTGGAGCTGATGCGTGGGATATCCCTGAGCATCCCCCACTGCTGGATGGAAAAACAGAACCAAGACACTTCTCTCTTTCAGAAATACTGCATGTGGCTAGTCAGGCTTGGAGCCTGTTTTTGCTTCTGGTGCTTCTCCCTCAGCAGGCTCTTGGGAACAACCTTCCAAAGGGGAGTAAGAGAACAAGGGACGCTTAACATGCTCCCTTTTGTGGAGTACAGGGTGGCAGATAGCCACCAGGAATGGTTTCCCCAACAAGCACAGCAAACAACAGCAGAGCACAGCACTCATACTGATTTATCTAGATGTTCATGTAGATTCTCCTCCATTCCTGTGTGCAGCGTGACTCTCACTTCCTTAGACAAGGAGGGCCACCCGGCCAAATTGGAGAAATACAACAAGCCAAGGAAGTGCTCAGACTGAAGACTGATCCAGACTCGGACTGAAGACACTTCAAAGCAGGAGTGTATAAAATTATACCTGGGAGATTTGTGGGTGATGTTTTTAGCAGAGAGGTGCCTAATTTTGGGAGACCACTCCTGGGAAAGCAGAACAAGGCTAGTGCTTTGATTCTGGAAGGCCTCATGGTGGCTGTGATGATCTTTTGAGCTTTGCAAAAGCTTGAGTGTGACACATCCTTAACCAAGTATAAATTCCTTCTGTTCTCTTGACTGAAATCAAATGGAAGGTAGATCAGCCCCTCAGGAGAGTTATCTGTAGAGATGGGAAAGATTTACAGCCCAAACAGAGGCTCTAGTGTTATTTTTTGGTATGTTAGGATACCTCAGCTGGCCTCTACCTGCTGCTTAAAAGTGTGGGTCTGCAGCAGGCTCTTCCATGTCTGTCAGGCCCTGTGGATGTTCTAGACTCTACCAGGCACAAAATAGCCCTGGACATCTATTTGTAAACACCTGAATTGCTTTTGTGGTCAACAGCAAGATCTGGGATGTGTATCAGCAAGGGTAAGCAACAGTTAAAAAGAGGCTCTCCAGAACTGTTCTATACTGTGACTTTAAATAGCTCTATTCTTTCCTTTTTTCCTCATTTTCTTATTCACAAAGAAATAATTCTCAGTACCAGCAGTCATCTTTGTCTCTTCTGTAGCAGAGAAAGGAGACTTTTATATTCCAAGAGGATGAGAAACAAGCCTCAGCTTTCATTTGATGCTAGAACAAGACCGGCCGGCCACATTGGGTCAGATCGACTGTCTAGTGTGGTGCTGTGTCCTGGGAAGCACCTGGCTGCAGATGCTCCAGAAAGCACGTAAGGAGCAAAGCACATGTGGAGAAGGTGAGATGAGGAAGAGCCGAGCCTCCGGCCTGACACAGGAGGGGAGGTGTTTGGATGGGTCTTCATTCACCCTTGCTCCCTGCTTCTTGGAAATTGCATTTTCAACAGAAACAGCATTTAGAGCTTAGTCCTGTTGGGTAAGTGAGTTCTTGGTGATACTAAGGCACACGTATGCCATGCATGGTGACTTCTTCCACCTGCCTAACCCTACCAGCCTGTGCAGTTGTTCCAGTTGTGGGGTGAGGCTGGCTATTTCTTGGGGCTGTTGGGAGAACAAATGCCTACTTTGAAGATATAAAGGACTTGGTAAGCGATCTGTAAGATGAAGGCAGCAGCCATCTTTTGAAGGTAGATGACTACTGACTGTGTGGGGCTTTTGGGGAGAGTGTGGGTTGCTTTTGAATGTGAAGGTACGCTGAGTGCGTGAAGGATGATACCGAGAAGCTGAGGATTTAGGGCCACAGAAGTTTACTAATACCTTGTTGTAATACTCTGCAGATTGTTCAGAAGTGGGGAGACTGCAGAGCTTCACAGAGGACAGAGGGAGCAGGGATATGAGCCTAGCACATGCTGCAGCCAGCTCTGCTCCATCTCCCTGAAGCTGAACCGTCCAGCCCCAGCCTTTCTTGTGGTGCGGATTAGTGCTCTTGCCACACTGACTTGTTTCATAGCTTGGGTGATGCCTCTGCTTCCATGGGTGGGAGGGAGTCGCCTTGTGCAATATGTTTGCTACGTTGAGTTGTTGCTAAATGTCATTCTTAGCTCCTCTCACACCTTTTAATACAAATCTAGACCTAAATGTTCCTCTAATAACAAAACATGTTACCATGACAAAGGGCTCTGAAGATTCCCACTGCTAGACATATCCTGATGGTTCATGGGAGGGTTAGTAAACTCTCTAGTGAACCCAGGGAAATGTTTACCTGGGCCATAAGTTGGGTGCAGAAGTCCACTGAGATGATGAAGTAGAGAGTGAACCTGCTTTGCCAGGAAACCTTCTAAAGTGAGGCTGGAGAGGAGCAATTAGAGATGAGTGAGGTATCCGAAGCAAGACTTGCTGCCTTAACTTGCTGTGTTGCAAGTTAAATGTGTTAGCTTTCCAGGACGTGTATTTCATGAGAACTGGTGCAGAATTAGAGAGCTTTGCAAATTGCTTCCAGGGTGGGACTTCAGGCCGGCGTGCTCTACAGTAACAGAAAAATTTTGGAAAGGACACTACATTTTGTAATCTTTTTCTCTGGTTTTGAAGACAAGATATTCATACTGCCTCACTTGAAGCATCTAGCTTTAAGTTCCTCTTTTTCTCTGTGGAGACACCAGAGTTTCCAATGTAAGTACTCTGGATGGGACTCTGAAGCTTTCTGCTGCTGGAGAGAGCACATAAACTTTTAACAGTAAATGAGTGCCTGCAGTTAGATTGTGTAAATCTAACTTCCACTGCCAAAGCATCTTCAGGAAGCATCATGAAAACTGTCAATAATAATGTGCTTTTAATGGTTAAATTCTTCAATAGCTCTTCTTTCTGTGACTTTTGTCAAAGTATTCGCTTCATCTGCCTCTTCAGTGGGCTTAATGCTGACCGCATTCACAATTCCCAGGACTGTCTCCGTGGCAGAAGAATCCTTTGCTGAGTGGCCTTCTGTGGAAGGTGTGCCTGTTTGCTCTTTGTGCTCAGGCTTTTCCTCGTGCAGATTCTGGGAACACTCGCCCACTTCTGCAGCCTGCAGATGGGAAGGGATTTGGGGTTCTAGACCCTGCAACCATGGGTGGCTTAAAACTTCATCTATGCACAACCTCCGAGACACATCTGGGTGGAGCATGCGGTAAATGAGATCCTTGCATTTTAGAGACAGGTGTCTGGACTTGGGAAAGTGAATCCTGTGCTGTTTCTGAATCCAGACCATTTTTCTGATGTTAGAATCATCAAATGGCATTAATGCACAGACCATTATATATAGGATGACCCCCAAGCTCCATATGTCGCAAATCTTGGGGTTACAAGGAATGCCCTGTAGCACTTCGGGGGCTGCATATATGGTAGACCCACAGAAGGTTTTACTGAGAATAATTTTCCCGTTTTCATCCCGAGTTAAGGGTTTGGAAAAGCCAAAGTCCGACAGCTTGATGTTGAGGTCTTTATCGAGAAGGATGTTTTCACATTTCAGGTCCCTGTGAGCAAGATCCATGTCATGGCAATACTTGATAGCAGAAGCCAACTGCTGAAACTTTCTCTGAGCGACGTTCTCTTTCATTGCTCCAGTAATCTTGAGGTAGTCCAGAAGGTCTCCCTTTTCCCCCAGCTCCATTATGATGTACACTTTGCCTGCGAATGTTTCAAATATCTCGTAGGTTTTGACAATTGAGGGGTGGTTCATATGTTTCAAAGCAGCTATTTCCCTTGGGAGAAATTTTTCCAGGAAGTCCTGAGGAGTTTTCGTCTTGTCGATAATCTTTATTGCCACGTTGCTTTCCAGCCTGTCAGAGTAGGCTGCTTTCACTTTGCCATAGGAGCCTTCCCCCAGAGTGACGCCCACAATATAGCCTCTCTTTCCAAGCGCTATGTTATCTTCCATTGTGCAAGAGGTGGCAGTTATGGGGGCTGGTGCTGGGTGTGTGTCATCTGTGCTGGCAGGCTGTGGGTCCCCGCTCCATGGTGGCTGCCTGGTATGCTTTGCTCCCACCACGGGGCAAGGTGGAACTGGGGGCATTGTGTGATGTGTGGTGTAGGGCTGTGATGTCGTTACATAAAGAGTCTATTTGTGCTTGAATGTGTAGTCTTTGGCTTGACTTCCTGCCCCATGCTGGAAAAAAGGAGATGATGAGAGACCACAAGAGATTCTTGTTCATTTAAGTGGATAAGAAAAACACAGGATTCTAGCTCTTTTTTTGTCAGGTGGTAATTTTAAAAACCAGCAGGATGTAATCGTTAAAAGAGAGAAAGTTACAAGAACCTTTAGAGAAGAGCCAGCAAGGGCACAGGAAGAGATGCTATAACCATTACGGAGAAGGTGCGTTCAGGTGCTTTAAAGAAGCAAAGCACTGAATGCTTCAGAGCTTATTGTTTCTCCTTTTCTTTGTGGGGCACAGGTAAGAAAATGCTGACCAGCGGAACAGCAACAGCACAGAATCTGTTCTTACTGATTAGCCTCACCAAAAAGTCCCAAGATCATGACCTGCTTCCAGCAACCACCCAAGCCAGTGCATGCAGTCCTGGCTTGAGCCCCCGCAAAACTACAGAAGCACGTCCCAAGGACAGGATGCTTTGCTTGACTTCCCCAAAGCCTCTAGTTCCCTGTGCACTGAACCATCCTTCTTTTTTGGGGCCAAGAGTATTTCCTTGAGGCAAAAGTAACTCTCTCGTGGTCTGATGCTGGGGCGCCTGGGGCACGGATGATGCAGAGGAGGGCCAGGGCTGGGTGCAAGATGGCTGGGGTTCTGTGGGCTGGCTTGGAGGATGGCTCTTGTTTGAGTTTCAGTAAATGAAATTTATGTCAACAATGTAAAAACAACACACGTTTTTACTTCTCTGATTACTTAGCTCAGAAGGGAAGCTGTGGTTGGAAATATTTTGTTATTTGAGAGGACTGTGGCATTTCTCTGCAATAATAAAGGAAATGGATCTGACCAGTCGGGGAGGGAAGGTGGAAAAATTACTGCTTCCTCATATTTGCATCTGTAGCCTCTTCATTATCAATCCCCATTCACAGCTGCTGGGCTTTTCACAGGCCCTGGCTTCATAGCAACCAGTCTGCAAACATCAGTTCAAAAATAGGGCCCTTGACCTAGAATGACAGCTGGCACCGGATATTCCCTGTCTGACCTCCCTTGGCTCTGCTCCTCTTGGCACAGCCAGCACCTCCTACCTTCAGTGAGCCCAGGGACCCTCTGCTCAGCTCCTGGGTTGTGCTAGGGGAAAAAAGAAAACTCAGTGAATAATAACAAGAATTGTCCTTGTGATAGCTGATGAGGATTACCTAAGGAGCTGCACGTATGAAGCTGAGCACCTAGTTGGCATGCAATGCTTGTGCCTGCTCCAGGCATGCTCCTGTCAGCACTAATTGTGTCATGAAGAGAATGACCAGGAGGGAGTCAGAGTAGGTCCTGAAGAAACTCATGTCATGCCAGGGGAAAGCATGGCCAGTGCCTTCCTCTTCATCCCCACCTCCACATTGTCAACCCCCAGGGCCAAGAGCACTTGACAACCCAAGTAGATGCCCCAAGAGTTTGACTCCCCAATGTTTTGGAGATATATCAACGCCCAATCGTCTCTTTGCGTATGGCCTGCCGTTACCTCACCTCTGAGCCGTGAGTGGCACAGAGGAATGTAAATGGTGCAATTTACCACGAATGGCCTGCTCGTGGTCCTCCCTAGCTGGGAGTTGCTGGATGCACTTGGCCTTCAGGACATCATCCGCTACCCCCATCTTGGGTCTGGCTAAACAACAGCATCCCTACAAGTACCACCCTCAGTTTTGTCTAAGAAACAGAGCATACGCTTCCTCTCCAGTGCGCTTGCAATGGTGGCTCCCTCCCCTGGTGCGCTGGTACTGCTCTGATCTTCATGTGTGCAAGTCCCACTGGTCTGGTGCTGCCTAGGTCACTGAGCAAAGGCCAGCTTTGGTCTCCGCTGGAGTTACTGCTTGCAACAGTGGAAAAGCCCATGGAAATAAGTGCCTCTTGCACCTTGGTGCTCCCATGTGGCTTTGTAGGTTATTGACTGTTTACTCAAGCATGTTGTATGGTTTCTGGTGCTTGCCTCACACCAAAGTGTGGTCCAAAACCTGCTCTGTCCAGTGCTCTGGTGTGGCACTTTGGACTACAGCATATGGAAAATAAGGTCTTTGCATTTTTCTGTGAAAGTCAGGGAAGGGCAGTGTGTGCCCTTTCTGCAAGCGGAGCTCTCGCCTCACGTGGGAGTTACCACAGGGCATTTATTTATAGATCATCATGTACAGAATGAGGCCCAGGCCCCAGATGTCATAGGCTAGAGGCTGATACTGAACACCCTGGATCACTCTGGGAGTCTGCATATGCAGCAGATCTGCAAAAAGCTAAGCTGAGAATTACCTCTCCACTCCCACGCGGGTAGCATCACGTGGAAAAAACAAAGTCAGACACTTTCATGTCCATGCCTTTGTCCCAGAGGATGTTGTCACGCTTCAGGTGCCTATGGACAATATCCGGATCATGACGGTATTTGACAGCACATGAGAGCTAGTTAAATATCTTTTGCTCTAAGTCTTAAGGCAACCCCTGTTGCTCTCGTTGAATTCCAAGCATGCACCTGTTCATGATGATACAAACTTTCCTGGGCGTCTCAAACTTCTCATGGCTGGGGGGGGGGGGGGCGCGCCCCGCCAATGTCTCAGGCTCCCTGGGGAGCAATTGGTCCAGGAACACATCGGGCACTTTGTTTCTGTCAGCAGTTTCCACTGCCAGGATGAACTTCTGCTGCTCTGAGTAGGCAGATTTAACTTTGGCGAAGGAGCTCTCCCCTATGTTGCTGCCTGTGATGTAGCCTTTCTCTCCAAGCACGGTGACGTCTCCCACGTGAGCAGAAATGTCTCAGGCTCCCTGGGGAGCAATTGGTCCAGGAACACATCGGGCACTTTGTTTCTGTCAGCAGTTTCCACTGCCAGGATGAACTTCTGCTGCTCTGAGTAGGCAGATTTAACTTTGGCGAAGGAGCTCTCCCCTATGTTGCTGCCTGTGATGTAGCCTTTCTCTCCAAGCACGGTGACGTCTCCCACGTGAGCAGAAGCAGCAAGTGCCCAAGAAAGCCTGCAAATGCATCTTGTGCAAGATGCCAGCAAGCCAGCAGCCTGCTCCTGACCACAGTCAGCTGGGTGCCCCGTGTCCCCATGGCCGAGGTCAGGAGTTGTGCGGAGCAGGAGGCCTGGGAAGATGCCAAGGAAGGCAGTGGTCGTTTCCTGCTGCTTAAGGTGCAGCCACATGAGAAGGAGGTGCAGATACTCCTTGGAGGATGCTGATGGATATAGTGAAATCCAGCTAGGCATGGCTGGTTGGGGGGGCTGGGGGAGCCTTGGGATTGGGGGAAGGAGCTTGGGTGGTGGCATGGCTGGGGGCCATGGCTATGGGCACGCTACAGGCATGCTACGGGCCTCAGGCTTTGGTGGGTGCCCTACCAAATTACAGTCCATGGTGATCAAGCTGCTGCTGCAGCGCATCCCTTCATTGAGCAATGATCCCAGAGGCAGTGGCACTGGCTTGCTTGCTTCCTTCATTATTGATGTGTTATGCTGAAACATAAGCAACAAAGAACATGGATTTTTTTTTTTGTTTATTAACATACCAAAATCCTTTATTTCACCAACATTTTAAAAAGAAGGCCTTCGCAGGCAGCTCCCCAGGTTTTGTCTTTGTTCTCAATTCTGAATTTAATTTTACTGAAAAGATGGAATTTCCTGCCTACCCCCCGTGGCAACCACAAGGCAAACGGTGCGCTTAGCCCCTCGTGGAGCTTGCGGTCCAGCTGGATGCTCCGGCATTTCCCTGACTACCACGGCATCCTCTTAGACCATCTGAGGAAATTCCAACTTAATCTGGGAAGTGGGTGTTCAAGGTAAAATTGACTTTTTATCCTTTATAATCAAATCTTGGGACTTTTCAGTAAGTAATGAAACCAGAGTGATTTCTCCCAGCTCACATGCAAGTGGAAAGCACCAGCCATTGCTTTCTAGCTCCTCTAGTGCCTCAGCTGGAGCTTGTGAGAGGATAGCTCTCCTTATTTTCCAGAAATGTGCTTCTGCCTTTGTGCACTGCAGCCATGGTGCTGGGAAAGGCAGGCTCGTGCCGAGCTGGTGGGCAGATGATGGGGCAGGTGCTGCTAAGGGCGGGATGCTGACCGGCTTGATCTCTTCCTAGACTTCCTCCCTTCCAAGCAAGAAGTGCAGGGGCTCTGGGTAGTTTTCTCCTAAAAGCTTCAGGATCAGCACACTCTATTTTCCTACCTCCCTACTGCCTTTTAATTAAACACTGAAGTCCTGTCTTAGGGAGAGTAACTGTGCTAGTGCTGAATTAAATGTCAGCAGGGGAATGTCCCTGAAGCTGATGTCAATCAACCTATTTGCAAGAAGGAAAAAGGCTCCATTAAGTTTTGTGGGAACAGCAGAGCAGAACACATGCACAGGCTAGGAAATCTGGCATTGGAAAGGTGGAAAAGGCTAGAAAATTTGCACAGATTTACGAACTGGTACTTGAGCTCTCCAGCAGCCTGGGTCTGGGCCTCAGATAATGCCTCTTCTTCTAGAGAAGAGCCTTGTGCGTGGAGGTGGTTTGTCATTTTGTTCCGATTCCTCCTCGCTGCTGTGGCACAGGTTTCTCTGAGCAGAGGAGCAGCCACCCTGATGCCTCTGCAGCCGCTGCCAAAGCCTGGCGTGCCCCCACGGGCAGGCCACCGCCGGGGCAGGAGCAGGCAGCGGCCTGCCAGCAACGGATAATCTCTCTGGGCAGCGTGGGCTGCGCTCTCCGGGAGCCTGTCGGCTCTAACGTGAGCACAAGCACACGAGCTGGCTGAAATCGTGGCTCCAGCCACCTCGGTGGCTAAAATTGCAAAGCGTCCTGACGTGAGTGCTCTGAATCATGCCCTGCATTGGAGAAACGAGCACGAGTGTCCACAGAGAGCGGAGAACAGCTTGGAGAGTTTTCCCAAGAGATCACTCACACGGCTGCAGCCTGAGCTTTTAAAAAGCGAGGCTTTACCTATACTTTTAAAAGCCTAAGATAGCAGTTAAAAGATGTAGCTCAACGGCAAGGTATGGCGCACGTCAGAGGACAAGGACGGAGGGGAGGGGCTGGCGCTCAGCTTAGTGGCGTGGCACACGGAGGGACCGTAGTAGAGAGGGGACAGGATGAAGTGGGACAGAGAGAAAAACTACTGGGGGGCTAAAAACATGGTGGCTTTATGGGGAATGCGGCTCTCGGTGGGGGTGCTTCGCTCGCCCCGAGCCTCGCGAGCGCTGCCACCACTACGGCGTCCTCTGCAATCTTCAGGGTCACGCTGCTGCAGTTTTGCCGGAAACAACTACTACCTAAATCACATCCGAGATGACAATCTCGCTCCCCAGCTTTAGCGGGCTGCAATCTGCAACGCTTGCTTCAGGAAATGCTGCTGCGCTGAGGGATGGCAGCCTCCCTTTGCAGAGGCTTTACTCATATCAGCGGCTCTCTTTAGGGACAACCACCACCCTGTTTGACGTCGAGCAACACCCAGGGTCAAATTCCTAAATGCACCTGTCATTTGCAGGGCCATTAAAGATGATATGAGCTGCACAATTAGTTTTTTCTCTCTGTATTTCCTCTCTGGATGGGCTTGAGATCCTGGAATGCAACTGTTTCCAGGAGGTATAAAAATACCAGCCAGCTTTGTCATTGTCATAATTACGAAAGCTATATGCACAGTGAAACTAATGCACTTATTGCAGAAATGTCGCGGTGCTGGACACCGTAATGTAGTGTCAGGGAGTTACCTGCTTGTGTCTTGCACACCTGAAAATCCCTGGAAAATTGGTGAAAGCATATGAAACTATGGTGTGTCTTATCCCTGCCTGGGTGTGCTAGACAGTCTGGAGTAGATTAGATAAAACAGTCAAAGGATGGTCAACCTCAGAGACTAGCGACAAGTCAGCTTCTGCTAGGAAACTCTGGTGTGCTTCACTTCTGTACGTGGCATGTGCAGCTCCAGCTGTCCCGAACAGAGGCATCAGGGACCTGAGGCCGGGAAGCTGGTGGCAGGGAAAGGCTATCCCAGCAGGGATGGAGGTGACCGGGAACACCATCCTAGCTGGGGACATGGTGGGGAAAGACCATCCTGCCAGGGATGGAGGTGACCAAGAAAGATTACCCCAAGGGGAACAGAGGTGACTGGTTAAGGCTGTCCCAGTGGGCACGGAGGTGTTGGGACAAGACCTACCGGTGAGGATGGAGGTGACTTGTTAAGGCCTTCCTGGTGGGGATGGCTGTGACCAGGAAAGGCCATGCCAGCTGGATGGAGGTGACCTGTCAAGGCTGCCCTGGTGGGGACAGAGGTGACTGGTCAAGGCCATCCTGGTGGAGATGGTGGTGATGGGGAAAGGCCCTCCTAGTGGGGATAGAGGGGAGGGGAAAAGCCTGCCCTGGCTGGGGATGGTGATGATCAGTGGAGGCCGTCCTGGTGGAGATGGAGGTGATCGATCGAGGCCATCCCGGTGGGGATGGAGATGACCGGTGGAGGCTGTCCTGGTGGGGATGGAGATGACTGGTGGAGGCCGTTCTGGTGGGGACGGAGGTAACCGGTGGAGGCCATCCCGGTGGGGACGGAGGTGACCGGCGGAGGCCGTCCCGGTGGAGGCCATCCCGGTGGGGACGGAGGTGACCGGCGGAGGCCGTCCCGGTGGGGGCCATCCCGGTGGGGACGGAGGTGACCGGCGGAGGCCGTCCCGGTGGGGGCCATCCCGGTGGGGACGGAGGTGACCGGCGGAGGCCGTCCCGGTGGGGGCCATCCCGGTGGGGACGGAGGTGACCGGCGGAGGCCGTCCCGGTGGGGGCCATCCCGGTGGGGACGGAGGTGACCGGCGGAGGCCGTCCCGGTGGGGGCCATCCCGGTGGGGACGGAGGTGACCGGCGGAGGCCGTCCCGGTGGGGGCCATCCCGGTGGGGACGGAGGTGACCGGCGGAGGCCGTCCCGGTGGGGGCCATCCCGGTGGGGACGGAGGTGACCGGCGGAGGCCGTCCCGGTGGGGGCCATCCCGGTGGGGACGGAGGTGACCGGCGGAGGCCGTCCCGGTGGGGGCCATCCCGGTGGGGACGGAGGTGACCGGCGGAGGCCGTCCCGGTGGGGGCCATCCCGGTGGGGACGGAGGTGACCGGCGGAGGCCGTCCCGGTGGGGGCCATCCCGGTGGGGACGGAGGTGACCGGCGGAGGCCGTCCCGGTGGGGGCCATCCCGGTGGGGACGGAGGTGACCGGCGGAGGCCGTCCCGGTGGGGGCCATCCCGGTGGGGACGGAGGTGACCGGCGGAGGCCGTCCCGGTGGGGGCCATCCCGGTGGGGACGGAGGTGACCGGCGGAGGCCGTCCCGGTGGGGGCCATCCCGGTGGGGACGGAGGTGACCGGCGGAGGCCGTCCCGGTGGGGGCCATCCCGGTGGGGACGGAGGTGACCGGCGGAGGCCGTCCCGGTGGGGGCCATCCCGGTGGGGACGGAGGTGACCGGCGGAGGCCGTCCCGGTGGGGGCCATCCCGGTGGGGACGGAGGTGACCGGCGGAGGCCGTCCCGGTGGGGGCCATCCCGGTGGGGACGGAGGTGACCGGCGGAGGCCGTCCCGGTGGGGGCCATCCCGGTGGGGACGGAGGTGACCGGCGGAGGCCGTCCCGGTGGGGGCCATCCCGGTGGGGACGGAGGTGACCGGCGGAGGCCGTCCCGGTGGGGGCCATCCCGGTGGGGACGGAGGTGACCGGCGGAGGCCGTCCCGGTGGGGGCCATCCCGGTGGGGACGGAGGTGACCGGCGGAGGCCGTCCCGGTGGGGGCCATCCCGGTGGGGACGGAGGTGACCGGCGGAGGCCGTCCCGGTGGGGGCCATCCCGGTGGGGACGGAGGTGACCGGCGGAGGCCGTCCCGGTGGGGGCCATCCCGGTGGGGACGGAGGTGACCGGCGGAGGCCGTCCCGGTGGGGGCCATCCCGGTGGGGACGGAGGTGACCGGCGGAGGCCGTCCCGGTGGGGGCCATCCCGGTGGGGACGGAGGTGACCGGCGGAGGCCGTCCCGGTGGGGGCCATCCCGGTGGGGACGGAGGTGACCGGCGGAGGCCGTCCCGGTTTTTTTGTAATACTCTATAAGCAGTTTGAAAGGCGGGAGTGTCTTCTGCCACTCCTTTACAGTTTTTACAAAAGATGTCGCTTAGCTGCATCTTTTAGGCAAAACTTCAGTCCCGGTGTTCGCTGATGTTCATCTTCGTGATGAACAAGTTGAACATGAGTTAGGACAAACGTTTTTGTTACAAACTTTGAGAACTTATGTAGAAAATATACCTAGCCCTACTAATAAAACAGCAATGGAAATGCAGCAGTATAATTCAGTTTTGAGGTGCTTCTTCCCTACCTGCTTTTGTTTTATGGTCCTTGGGTGCTGACCCTTCTTTCCTTCCCATCTAAGAAAACATCCCCTTCTTCTTAACCACTGTTGGCTGCTTTGTTAAAAGGAAAACAACAACAACTTATTTAAGACCTCACTTTCAAAGTGCTACTTAATCAGCCAGAAAAGGAGCAGCACTCTGTTGCATTTCAGTTCTTATGATGCCTTCCTAGTTCTGTTTTGGCTTCTTTTAGGGAAATAGTCTAATGGTTGAGTTTGGCTGGTAGATGATAGACACAGTGCTTTAAAACGTTAAAATAATTAACTTTTGAGAAATGATTGGTGTTTGGTTGCAAACCACTGCTTTTGTAAATACATCGCCCGGTTGGAGTTCCTTTTTGGATGTTCATCTTACTTGGAGGCTGGCAGAACTGTCCCATATCTTAGAGTGTTCTTGCCAAAGACAATCAATAGCTGAAGCATGAGGGTGTCTGGAGTAGATTTGAAGGTTTGGAAACTGTCCTCCCAAAGTGCTAATAGTGAGTTTATTCCTGGGTGATACAGACTCTTCTGTAAATTTGGAAGTAAGAATGGTGAAGTTCTTATTATAACTTTGAAATGCCCTTGTTCTTTCTCTTCAAAGTAACTTTTATGACCCAAACTACTAAAGCTAAGAGTGTTAATGAACTGTGTTTAAGCAAATTCCCAGCACAGCTAAAACACAATTGCGCCAATGTAGGCAGTCTTATTGAAATAACTAAGTTAGATGCTGAAACTGCTGTGTGTGTGACTTGTTTCATTTTATCTTGCTTTTCTGGCATTGTTGGCAGTACAGTGTACATAGGGCTTATGTTATGTTCTTAAATAGTGAGGAAAAAAAAAGACCACCTGCTAACCTAGTATTATTACTGTTAGAGGCTTTCATGTTGGAGAAGATGCTGTGTGAAACTGATTTCAGGAAATTTCCTTTATAGCTGGCACTGAGTGCTATGGACAGCTGAGTTGCTAGGTAAAAATATTCAGTAGAGATTCATAGCTTTGTGCATGCTTACACAGGTTGTTAAATTTGACCCTGAACTCTGGCATGGAATTGATCATTGATGTTTACTAGAAATTAGAAAACAATATTTTCCGTATTAGATCAGAACATTTACTCATCTGTCTAGCGTACTATCAAGTCTATCAGCAGTTGATGCTTGACGGACAAAGACAAGTCCTTCGTTGAGGCTTGGTGCTTTAAGGCAAATGAAACTTTTGCACTGGTACTCTAGTTCATCTGTTTTAGAGATTTGTGGTGCTGTAGCTATACTGGTGGGAACATCCTTCTCGTAGACAAACCCTAACTCTCGTATTTTCAGATTACACAACTCTTGACTGTAACCTGTAGCATCGGGCTTCCTCTGTAGCAAATCCATGTCTATTCCCTGAACGTTGCTGTTACCTTAATGTGAAGTAATCAAAATGGGATGTAGTATTGCAGCTGGAACCTGATGCTGTTTGAGGAATTTCAGAATTTCTTTCTGAAGACACTCATCCATCCTGTTTACTCTGAATGCTGATATGCTCCAGATAAGTGTCTTTGTTGAGCTGTCCATGGTGATGCCTTTTCTTCCTCCTCAGAAGAGAGCCTGTGACCTTACATCTTTTTGCCAGTGGTTTTTTTTTTTTTAACTTGCTTCATTTAACATCTTGAAGTTACCAGCTCAAATGGATCAGCCATTTCATAGATTAAATAGTATATGGGTGGATTCTAAGACAGAAGGTGCAAGCAGGGAGAAGCTGGTTCATGCAAGTACAAAGTATGTACAGAACCAAAATTATCATTTTAGTTAAAGATAATGGTAATGAAATCTTTCCTGTCTTTTTTGGGGGGAGGGAGGCAGAGGGTGTGAGGATTTCCTCAGAAGAGTTAGGATAGTATTTGGATGTAGAATATATTTTGCTAGTACTGTTTTTTCTGCCGCTTCCTTAAACCTGTATGTTGTAGTAACTGTGCTGTTGGCTTGGAGAGGAGTCCTGTAGCTTGCTTAGCTTAAGTCTATACTTAGAGCTACCAAAAGAGTGCTGCAGAGTGATGCGAGATTTTTATATACTTTGAAATGAATGTGCGGTCCCTTCACAATTCAGTCCCAGCAAATCAGGCACCTCTTTGTGCTTCCATGGTAATGTGATGCTAGCTCTTTACCGATGTTCTTGCTGTGCTCCTCAGACAAATAAAACCTTCTTTTAAGCCTTCTCAACTGTAGCATCTTTTCAGGGAAGCTGAAAGACAGCGATTTTATGTGAACCTATTTTTTTCCGCCTCTAGAGTGTGAAGGTTTTTAGTAAATAAGGAGAAAAACTAATTAAAAAAGTCATTTTTTTTTCCCAGATTTTTCTGTCTCAGTTACGCAGGTCAGCTATATCCTTCTACTGTCACTAACAACTTCAGGTACTTCCAAGATACCATGACATCAGCACTAGCTGTAGAAACTTGCATTCCTGAAGGTACCATGGGCGGTTAGATTTCCTGAGCCTGTGAACTTTCAACAGTAACTCTTAAGAATTTCTGCTTTTGACTATAAACTGCTTATTTTGACTACTGCCCTGCTTTGTGCATTATATTTAGCTATAATGCACTGTTTAAAAGATTCTTTTTTTTTTTTGCCCTAGGATGTTTCTCCTTAACTTGCATTATTTGTTACATGTTTGGAAACTACTAATATGAACCAAAGCTGAAGGTATCGGACCTCTCCAGCTATATGGGTGTACAGTGAAAGGCTAACCCAATATTTCCCTTAATCTGTTATGGAATTGATTGCATGTGGTGTTCAGATACTTGCTTTATCACAGTTAAGGTTAGGCTTAATATTTTTCCAGGGCGGTCTAGAAAATTTGTGTCTGGTTATCTGACCAGCTGGCTGAGAACTGTTGTCTTTATGTAAAGAAGTATTTTGATGATGTGTTAGCTGGTCCATGAATAAACTGTATTCATGCCAGATTGGATTTAGATTGAGTTTCAGAACACTAATGCATTTCTATCAGTTGCCTAAAGCACATCAGAGATATAAATTGTTATTAATTCAGTTTTGCAGCGTTGTTTGCAAATATGTGAGAGGTCCTGTTTCTGTTAACATCCCATTACAACAAAAAGCAAAGGTGGTGTCTTTTTATGCAATATTAGTAATATAGTCTGGAACAATCCGGTTATTACTAAAGACAACAACCCATTTTCTTATTTCTTTAACAAGATACTGCTGCTTGCTAGTGGAAAACATTTAAACATGGTCAGACTTCATATTGGGTTTTGTAATAGTGTTTCAGTAGAGAGGCTTGTGAATGTAGGTCATTGGGCTTTCTTATTAGAGCGTTTGCCAGGCAGCTAAAGGCCAACTGAGTGCTCATTCTTGCAGCTTTTTCTCCACTTCAAAGCTAGCTACAGGAAGTAATTTTATTACCTAAATTCTATTTTTTTAAAAAAAATCCTGCACAACTGAGCTAATCAGCAGTAGTTAGAAAGATTTGCCAATGCAAGCAATTTAATCACCCCCCCATTACCCCCCCCCCCCCCAACCTTAGCTTAAAGTTACTTGCTTAGTGTATGTGGCTGAATGTTGTGCTAGAACTTACCAAGTGCGGTGTGGGTATTTTGACACATGAAGTGTGTTTAAGTCACCAACTCTTGTCAAAAGTTACAGGTCTTAACTTTTGACTAATTAAGCTGTATTTATAGGTCTTAAATACAAAACAGAGCTCCTCAGAGTAGAAGACTAATAAAAAGACATAGTAAACATTGTTTCAAGGTGATCCACTTTTACAATGTGACTGAATTTGTCTATTTTTGACCAACCGAACTGTATTTAATTGAAATCAAGACCCAAATACATCAGTCATCAGATGTGACCTAGGCATAGCATTCCTCTGCTCTAAAGAGTTCATTGATAAGCGCATAAAGTCCTCATTTTGCTTTTGATTCACTATATCTGTTTACCTTAGAGAGAAAGCTGAAGATAGTAATACTTAGTTCCATGTTGCTGCAAACCGTAATCCCTGTCTTTGTTTTTAACTGAATTTCTAAGGAAGGCCTTCTCGATTTGGGAAGCAGAACTGCTTTCTTATATCACACCTCCTCTCTGAGTTTTGCTAGATGTGGACCTGTCTTGTCTTCCGGTGTTACTGCTCTCCTCCACCCTCCCATTTTTTCCTGTACCTTTTTTTGTTTGTTTGTTTGTTGTTGTTTTCCCCCTCCCACTGTTATATATTAGCACTCTTTTCCAGGTGTTTTCTTCAGGTTTTGAAATCATTTGGCATGCATTTTATCAGATTGTGCTCTGCTGTTTGCTGTTAGCATAAAGCGAGCTTGATCCAGTTGAAAAATCTTCCCTGCAGCTGTTACCAGTGTAGCAGAGGGACAAGGCAGAAAGTACCAGATTAGCAGATCTGATACTTCCTCACTGGTAATTCCTGATGTTAAAAAGCAAAACTTACAAGCTGTAAGTGCGTTTGCTATTCGCTGTGGCTAGAAAGTAAAGGGTTAAGAAAGGAGTTTGTAGACAGAGGGCAGTTTACATGCATTGCTTTGATTCTGAGAAATAATAAAAGGGGAATTTGAGGGTTTACAGATGTGTGACTTCTATGTCCACAAGGTAGAGTGAGGTGCAGAGTAACATTAGGCCAGGAAGGCAGAAAGGAGAGAGAAAAAAGCACTGCTGCAGCCTTTCTCCGTGGCATGAGAAGGATGTTGTCGAAGTTCCTCTTTGAAGTTTCTCAATAGTTAGGGGCAAAGGCAAATGTAATTTCAAGAGATAAGAATTTTAAATGCTAAATATCAAAGATGTAAAACTCCCCAGTGAGTGCCAAAACCACAACCCAGATCTGAATGAATTATTCCGTCCCCTGGAATTAACTTTGCTAGGGCTGTTTTT